ACCATTATTTCTTCTTTGATTCTGTAAAAATGTGGTTTAACGATGATGCCCCTGGGTAAATCATCTGGTCTTGGAGCCATTAAGGCCCTGTGAAAACGTTCCAATTCTAGCTGATGTGTAGATATCTGGGATCAGGTCCTGCATCAGGGTGTGTATCGCTGATTCTAGATCCACTATCTATCTCTGATCCTGAAGTTATAGCGTCGGGATCTATTTTCAAGGTCTTCAATCTTAGCCTGAGCCTGATCCAGTTGATCCTGCAAAGTTGTGATCAAATTAGAGTTCTGATTAAACTTTTTAATCGTGCCATCCATTTTGGATTTGATAGAGTCCAGTCTATCCCCTATACCTTGGAAGTCTTTTTTAAAGTCTGTGGTTATAATGGTGCATGCTTTAGATAATTTTTGCTGTAATAATGTGGAAAATCTTGCTATCAGAACCGCGTACCCTGAGTATGGGACTGGTTGTGCTAAAGGAAGTTGTTCAGTGGCGCTAGTCTGGCTCAGTATAATGTCTGCTAATTCTGCCATATTTCTGTCCATAGAGGATGCTGGGGAGGCTGAGCTCACCAAGTCTCCCTCAAGAGACTGGAACACGGAGAGAACTGCTGTCCACCCACCTGAAGCGACTGCTGGAGCTGGGGATCCTCCTGGGACTGTGAGAAAGGATCTCCCATTAGCTTGGCTGGAGATGGAGGAGACACAGGCCGCTGCTGTCTGGAGGGCTGACCACTGTCTCGTGGCGTCCTCCTCTGCATCAGAGCCATCTTGGCCTGAGGGCCTGTTGCGGGAGAGGAGGCTGGCGGACCGATCGGGGAGGCTGAGAGGTCTGAGCTGGCTTCCTCCTTCTTGCACCCGCTGTCCGCCGGTGCATTGTAGTCTCCGCCAGTGGTGTATTTAAATACGTGCTGCTCTAGGCAACACAAAAAATTTGCGCCCTCCCCAATGAGAGAGCAAGAGAGTCAATAAGTGTGTGTGTGTGTGTGTATATATATACAGTTGCAAGAAAAAGTATGTGAACCCCTTGGGATTACGTGGAGTTTTGCATGAATTGGGCATAACATGTGCTCTGAACGTCATCTAAGTCACAATAATAGAAGAACACAGTCTGCTGAACATAATACTACACAAATATTAGATGTTGCCATGGTTTAATTGCACATAACATGTAAACATTCACAGTGCAGGGAGGAAAAAGTATGTGAACCTTTGGACTTAGTAACTGGTTGACCCTCCTTTGGCAGCAATAACCTCAACCAAACGTTTCCTGTAGTTGCAGATCAGACCTGCACAACGATCTGGAGTGATTTTGGACCATTCCTCTTCTCAAAACTGTTTCAGTGTAGCAATATTCTTGGGATGTCTGGTGTGAATCGCTCTCTTAAGGTCATGCCACAGCATTTCAATCGGGTTGAGGTCAGGATTCTGACTGGGCCACTCCAGAAGGCGTATTCTGTGCTGTTGCAGCCATTGTTTTGTTGAATTACTTGTATGCTTTGGGTCATTGTCCTGTTGCATCACCCATCCTCTGCGGAGCTTCAGTTGGCGGACAGATGGTCGTACGTTTTCCTGCAAAATGTCTTGATAAAACTCTGGTATTCATTTTCCATCAATGACAACAATCCGTCCAGGCCCTGAGGCAGCAAAGCAGCCCCAAACCATGATGCTCCCTCCGCCATGTTTTACAGTGGGGATGAGGTTTTGATGTTGGTGTGCTGTGCCTTTTTTTTTCTCCACACATAGTGTTTTGTGTTTTTCCCAAACAACTCAATCTTGGTTTCATCTGTCCACAGTATATTTTGCCAGTAGTGCTGTGGAACATCCAGGTGCTCTTTTGCAAACTTCAAACGTGCTGCAATATTCTTTTTGGACAGCAATGGCTTCCTCTGTGGTGTCCTCCCATGTACTCCATTCTTGTTTAATGTTTTCCTTATTGTAGATGTGTCAACAAAAATGTTAGCTGTGCCAGAGATTTCTGTAGGTCTTTAGCTGACACTCTGGGATTCTTCTTTACCTCATGCAGCATTTTGCGGTGTGCTCTTGCAGTCATTTTTACAGGACGACCACGCCTAGGGAGAGTAGCAACAGTGCTAAACTTTCTCCATTTGTAGACAGTCTGTCTTACCGTGGACACATGACCATCAAGGCTTTTGGAGATACTTTTGTAACCCTTTCCAGCTTCATGCAAGTCAACAATTCTTGATCGTAGGTCTTCTGAGAGCTCTTTTCTGCGAGGCATGGTTCACATCAGACAGTGCTTCTTGAAACCAGTAAACCCAAAACAGGTGTGTGTTTTTTAAGGGCAGGACAGCTGTCAGCAACACATCCAATATCATCACACTGATTGGAGTCAAGGTTGGCTCACTCCTGGCTCCAATTAGCTCTGGGAGAAGTCATTAAGCTAGGGCCTCACATACTTTTTCCTCCCTGCACTGTAAATGTTTACATGTTATGTGCAATTAAACATCAAATTTTTGTGTAGTATCATGTTCAGCAGACTGTGTTCTTCTATTGTTGTGACTTAGATGACGTTCAGAGCACATTATATGCCCAATTCATGCAAAACTCCACGTAATCCCAAGGGGTTCACATACTTTTTCTTGCAACTGTATATATATATATATATATATATTATATATATATGATTCTGTCCAGGGGCGGACTGACAACTCATGGGGCCCCCGGGCAATAGGGGATCATGGGGCCCCTGTGTACTTGCCCAAACTCAAAAAAGCCTATGAAAAAGGTACCAGGGGCATCACATGGGGCCCCCTACTGACCCTGGGCCCTCGGGCAGTACCCGAGTTTCCAAATGGTCAGTCCGCCCGATTCTGTTTCTTTCCTTCTCTTCTCTCTCTATTCCTTCTTTCTTCCCTGCCTCTTTCTCTCTCTTCCTTCTCCCTCTCTCTCCCTCTCTTCCCCCTCTCTCTCTTCCTTCTCCCTCTCTCTCTTCCCTATCTCTCTCTTCCCTCTTTCCCATCTCTCTTTCTCTTCCCTCCCCCTCCATTCTCCCTCTCTCTCTCTCTTCCCCCTCTCTCTCTCTTCCCTCTCCCTCACTCTTTCCCCTTCTCTCTCTCTCTCCCCCCCCCCCTCTCTTCCCTCTCTCTCGCTTTGTTTCTCAGATCGTATGGGGCTGCACACACACACACCTCCTCCAAGGGCTGCTGATCTCCGGGCAGCAGGAAGGGGGGGGGGGGGAGTAGGTGTGTGCAGTCCCATACGATCTGTCAGTGTAGGGAGGGAGGCAGGAAGATCCCACAGAACACAACACAACTCACCCCCTCCCATCTCTTCTCCTCTCCCTGCTCCAGACTGTCCCCTGGTCCTGGCTTTTCAGCTGCTGGAGGGAGAGGTACACGAGCATCGTTCTGCAACTGCTCTCCCCCACATCGATCCTCCTGCTGTCCGGGCCACTGCAAGAGTACCGAAGGTACCACTCTGATGGCAGCCCTGCATGGCTCTGTCCACCACTGCTCAAAAGGTCCCTTCTTCCAGGGGGCGGTGCTGCCCCCCTAAAAATTGCTGTCCTAGGCAAACGCCTTGTTTGCCTTGCGGTAGATACGCCCCTGGTCTCCCTCACACAGGAACGCCGTCGCTGATGTCTCTACTCCGCTCCTCTCTGCTATTTCTTGCTTGGATGGCCGAGAGCATGCAGAGCGCAGTCAGTGCATGACCCGTCCTGATGCCGCGCAAATCTTAATTTTAATCATAATTTTTTTTAAAACATCATTTTCCAGGTTCCTAAGTAAACAGTTGAAAACATACTGCTTTACACATACATGTACTGTATGAAATCAGTAAATGTATTCCTATTAATATATCGAATAATAATAATTTCCATTATTTCTGTATAATTTACTATGATACCATTTTACAGCTGCACATACATCAGTAAGTGAAGAGTTAAGCATTAGCCACTACTACTTGCAACATAGTATCAATCAGTGCAGAAAACATATTATGAGTAACAACAAAATCATTACTATATATGTGTGTAAAAATATTCTGACACTTTATGAGAGTTTTGAGCATTGCAGCCAATAATCCAATAATCCCATCATCCCAATATGCAGTTTAGTACATCCTGACAATGTCCACTGTTATCAAAAACTAAAAATTAACTGGCACACCCACATAAAATAATCAGTTGATCTATGTTTATATGCACAAAATATCTGTATGAACAATATATACATGACCACAATGTAATTATAGTATAAATACTTCCCAACAGTGGTGTCCCAAGGCAGGTGCAGGGGGTGCGGTCCGCACCAGGTGACACCGACCGCACAGGGTGACACCGGACCCACTCCACAAAAAGGTAAGGTGTAAAGCAAGCCAACGATCTGCGCAGGATGGATCCGATCCATCCTGCAGGGATTGTCGGCTTTCTTTACAACTTACCTTTTCTTGCAGCAGGTCCAGTGTCACCCCGTCGGCATGCAACCTATACAGGGTGACACCGGACCCGCTCCAAGAAAATGTAAGTTGTAAAGAAAGCCGATGATCCCCGCAGGATGCATCAGATCTGCGGATTGAGCATAATGGATGAGTCCGATCCATTATGCTCAATCTGCAGATCAGACCCATTCTGCAGGGATCGTGGGAGGGGTGTCACCAAGTGTTACCACAACGGGTGACACCAACCCTAGGGACGCCTCTGCTTCCCAATTACATCATTTAGGTAACAGATGAGAAACAAGGATATATATATATATATATCAGCTGTTACCTGAATGATGTAATTGTGAAGTATTTATACTATAATTACGTTGTGTATATTTTGTTCATATAGATAGATAAATAGGACCCTACATCATGTCACCAGCCTACACAGGAGTGACTCCGTTCTTCTCACTAGCTCTGCCCTCAGTAACCCACAGACTTCAACAGTTCAGTCCTCCACCACGTGTGACTCCCCCCCTCGTTCCTGGTCACATGGCACGATCACATGACGGGGACATCCAATGCCCAGGCGTGTGGCTCGTACAGTGAGGTGCAATGGCAGCAGCTGGCTGTGGGAGCAATGCAGGGAGGAATCTCTTGCAGTTTATGAAGTTCATAGGACAGCTGAAGGTAACAGACTGAGCCGTGTGTGTATAGCATGTCCTCGCTTCTGTGCTATGACAGACTTGCATGTAGTATTGTGTTCTATAATGAGCATAGGAGCACATTCAGTATGAATAGTGTGCTCGCAAGAGACATGTTCTTTTTAACATCCCACAAATCCTTCTCTAATCCTCCCCCTGGAATTATCACCCGTTTATTAAAAGCACAGCGCTGTCCCTTAACCACTTGCCTACCGGGCACTTATACCCCCTTCTTTACCAGGCCAATTTTCAGCTTTCAGCGCTATTGCACTTTGAATGACAATTGCGCGGTCATGCAACATTGTACCCATATGAAATGTTTATCATTTTTTTCTCACAAATAGAGCTTCCTTTTGGGGGTATTTAATCGCCACTGGGCACTTTACTGTTTGCGTTATAAACAAAAAAAATGCAAAAAATTTGAAAAAAAAAAAGTTTCTTTGTTTCTACTATAAAATTTTTCAAACAGGTAATTTTTCTCCTTCACTGATGTGCGTTGATGAGGCAGCACTGATGGGCACTGATAGGCAGCACTAAGTAGGTGGCACTGATAGGCAGCACTAAGTAGGTGGTACTGATAGGCAGCACTAAAGTGGCACTGCTAGGTGGCACTGCTGGGCACTGACTGGCACAACCGCTGGGCACTGACTGGCAGCACTGCTGGACTGCACTGCTGGGCACATGTGGGTGGCACTGGTGGGCACAGGTGGGGGGTACTGGACACAGGTAGGTGGCACTTCTGGGCACAGGAGGGTGCACTGCTGGGTGGCACAGGAGGGTGCACTGCTGGGCAAAGGTGGGCAGAACTGGCGGGTGGTACTGCTGGGCAACGATCATCAGGGCACTGATCATCAGTGTCCTGATGATAGGTGCCGATCCCTGCTCTGACAACTGCCGGTTCTCGGCAGTACTTTCCTCGTGCTCTGACAGCGTGAGGAAAGTGCAGCCGAGAACCGGCAATTGCATTTCCCGGTGATCAGTGTGTCATTGGACACGGCTGATCATGTGGTAAAAGGCCGCTGTGATTGGCCTTTTACCACATCACGTGATCAGCTGTGTCTATAGGACACAGTGATCATGAAGATTGCTGGGGGCGCGCAGGAGAGCGCGTTCTGGGAGGACATCATATGATGCCCTCCCAGAACTGGCCGGCCGCAGTGTAGCCGTCAGCCTACTTCACGTCTATGCAGATATCACAGCGATTCCTGCAATCAAAACGCACAGGACTGCTATTCATTTTTAATGGTACCACCACGCATCTAAAATCACAGCACCGTATTATTTCCCAGCTTCTGTGTTTTTAGAATGGTGCAGGGACCTTTTTCCTGCGGAAAACGCAGGTACATCCCCCCGTTCAAATGAATGGGCTGCTGTACCCGTGCAAACCCACATACAGGTGAAACTCGAAAAATTAGAATATCATGCAAAAGTTCATTTATTTCAGTAATGCAACTTAAAAGGTGAAACTAATATATGAGATACTCATTACATGCAAAGCAAGATAGTTCAAGCTGTGATTTGTCATCATTGTGATGATTATGGCTTACAGCTCATGAAAACCCCAAATCCACAATCTCAGAAAATTAGTATATTGTGAAAAGGTGCAATATTCTAGGCTCAAAGTGTCCCACTCTAATCAGCTAATTAAGCCTTTAAATGGTCTCTCAGTCTGGTTCAGTAGGAATCACAATCATGGGAAAGACTGTTGACCTGACAGTTGTGCAGAAAACCATCATTAACACCCTCCATAAGGAGGGAAAGCCTCAAAATGTGATTTCAAAAGAAGTTGGATGTTCCCAAAGTGCTGTATCAAAGCAGATTAATAGAAAGTTATGTGGAAGGGAAAAGTGTGGAAGAGAAAGGTGCACAAGCAGCAGGGATGACCGTAGCCTGGAGAGGAAATGGCTGTGGGGGATGGAGTGGAGATCGGCTGTTAGGTGAGGGCGGGGTAGGCTTCCCTGAAGAGATGGGTTTTCAGGGTGCGCCTAAAGGTGAGGAAGGTAGGTGACAGTCTGACGGATTGGGGTAGTGAGTTCCAGAGGACAGGGGAAGACCTGGAGAAGTCCTGGAGTCCGGCATGGGAGGAGGAGACCAGGGAGCTAGAGAGTAGGAGGTCTTGTGAGGAGCGAAGAGTACGTGTTGGGTGGTATTTCAATATCGGGTCGGTGAGGTAGTTTGGGGCAGTATTATGAATAGCTTTGTACGTCAATGTTAGTAGTTTGAATTTTATGCGTTGGGCAATCGGAAGCCAGTGGAGGGAATGACAGAGGGGGGTGGCAGATACTGAGCGGTTGGTAAGGTGGATGAGTCTGGCCACTGAGTTTAGGATAGACTGAAGCGGGGATAGTCTGTGATGAGGTAAGCCGGTGAGGAGGGAGTTACAGTAGTCAAAATTCTATGAATTGTATGTGGAATTGCTACATTGTGGAATAGACATTTTATGGCACACTCTGCATTCCTAGAGCCTTAACCTCCTTGGCGGTGTTCCCGAGTGTAGCTCGGGGTAGAATTTCTATACCAAGAACAGTAACCCCGAGCTACACTCGGGCTTACTATGCAGCGTTCTCTGGGGGTCCCTGCAGCACTTACCTTGTCCTTCGCTCCCACGATGGGTCCCCTGCAGTGTCCCCGTCCATCTCCTCCGGCGGATGCCGGCATCTGACTTCCGTGTTCCGGTCCCCGTGACGTCGGAACGTTCGGGCGGCGGAACCGGCGGGAAATTTGAAAATTTTTAAAAAAATTACATTTTTGCTGTCATTGTTTTTTCACTGCATTTCACATACATTTTGTCCCCACTGCTTTGTCCTGTGCCCTGCCTGCATTTTGACTGTTCTTTCTGCCTGGAAACTTAGAAAAGTCCATGGCGGCCAAAAAGCGTCCCTTTACATCAAAAGCGGTTTTAGAACAGCGATAGTAAATCAGAACCACTTGCAGAATTGAGTGATAATGATTTGTGGGGAAATTCGTCATCAGACACTGAAAACGATTTTGCGACTTTGCTCAGCGATGTGCGAATTTGCCTCTGTATTTCAAATTTCAGTGTTTTTGGTTTGATTATATTATTGAATTAAATTTATTATTATTATATTATTATTTTTTTATGATTATTTTATTAAATTATAATTTATGATTTCGTGTTTCAAGTTTTATCATATCCGGAATGTTTAATAGACTCTTTTTCGGATAGATTTCAGTGAGTTATTCCTAAAAATTACAGCCTACAATTAAAAACTACATATTTCCATGCAAAAAAATGGTACCGCTTTCAGCACAAAATTCCTGACATGATCATACCGCCAGGGAGGTTAATGGCCTTATACAACATGTTGTGGCTTGACTGAGTTATTTTTTACGATAGGGCATAGGAAAGTGTTTTTCATGGTTCATGGAAACAGACATCCTGCCAAGACTAATTAGCTGTTTACAGCTCTGGCCAGGTCTGGACGCTGCATCTATTTGTGTTTTAGTTAACATAAGAGGCTCTTTTGAAGTTTGTTAAAACTTACAGCTACATATTACACAGTTTTCAGGGGGACAGATGGGAGGAAGGTCATTGCTCATGAAAAACAAAAATGGCTATCACATACAAGTTCCATGTCCCTATTGCGCACAATCGTTACAAGTGTGTGCCAGAGGCAGGCTGAATTTTGATGAGGGGTGCAGTGGCTGGAAAAGTAAACAATACCGACATGCTGGGTCAGGGGTGTGGATTTTAAAAAAAAAAAACTACTTGTCCAAGGGACTAAATCGGGGTCTGAATCTACTTGTCTCTCACGACAATCTACTTGTCATGATACATTTTTTTTTAACCAAAACCGTATTTATTTAAGGCTGACCATCCTTTTCACTCAGCAATCCCACGTCTGACCATCCCTACAGGGGTGTCCTGCTGAGAGTGGGGATGGTCAGAGGTGTCCTGCTGAACTTGGGGATGGTCCGAGGTGGCATGCTAAGTGTAGGGATGGTCCGAGGTGGCATGCGGAGCGTGGGGATGGTCCGAAGTGGCATGCCACCTCTGATTATCCCTACATTCAGCAATCACAAAGTACAATGCTGTGTGTGGATGTGGCAGGTGCAGTAGATAAGTAGTAATAGGACAGAGTTTGATGTGTGTTGCCATTGATATGTCCTGTATGGTGGTCCGGGTCCTGAGGTCACCTGCCATGTGTGTGTTCTGCAGCAGAGTGTATGCAGACGGAGGGATACAAATGGAGAGGAGAGCGAGTGCTAAGTGAAGGGTGCAGGAAGGGCAGCTTGTCGGCGTGTCCAAGAAGGAGTAGGAGAGTAAGAGAAGTTTGGGAGTGGCTGGGACTGAACAGGGCCGCTGAGGGAGCCGCCAAGCTAGTGAGAGGCCAGTGGAGAGGGGACTGTCTGAACCGGACAGCAGCATGGATGAGTGGAGAGCCTGCTAACTCTGGTGCAGCATGAAGATCTGTTTGTGCTTCACCGGTGTCTGCTTCGCAAAAAAAAAAATAGAATATATAAACCCTGCTGCTTGCCCACAGCAGGGCTAAATGTAAATAAAAACCACTTGCCCGACGCCCAGAATTACATGTCCCAGGCGTTGGACGATATGAATTGCACATCCCTGTGGGTGTATGTAAATTGTTCTGTACCTCTGAATGACCAGCCAAAGGGTGAAAAGTGAACAGTGCTTCATGTCTACAGAGCACACATAAATAATTAAAACATTTTGTAGGGTAACTTACAATGTAATTTTCATAATAAAAAAAAAAATATATATATTTTTTTTTTTTTTAGAATAAGAATAGACTAATAACTAAAAATAGTCTGTTAAATAAAATGTTTTATTTATTAATCTAAACATTTAATTTTTTTTTAATAAAAATTTTACAACTTGGAGAATTACAAAGAGTTTAAAACATATAATCATTTATTTACATTCAAAACCCATTGCCATATCAATTGCATTGAAATCACTTGGTGAATGATAACCAGTATATGGCCCGTTGGGGTCAGGGCATACTTCTAATTTTCCAAACAGCATAAGATGGTATTGGGATGCATTCTCTCTTTCCCAAAAAAAACCATGAATCATTCTGGAAAAGAACTGGTATTCTCCTTTTTACGTAGACATCTAAAAATAAAAAAAAAATGAAATGTTCATTCTTACGGCAAAATCAAAACAGTGATTAACAGTGTTAATTTGAGTTTGTTAAAATTAAGGCTATTACTTTAGGGAATAAATTAAACTTGTTTTAGCAAGTTATGGTACTGTGTTATGCAGCCAATGGAGGAGTTTTATTTATTTTTTTTTTCATTCAACCTGCAGGATTAAATGAAGGGGAAAAAAAACCTCTTCCCATCCACAATTTCGGGGAGAGATCCTGTTCTATTCCAACAGCAGGTATACTTCCCCTCCATTAGAATAAAATGATCAGCTCTGCAGACTGTAGCCTGCAGTACTGATCGTGCTTTTAAAATCCGACAGGGTGGTTTGACAGAAGTCAGTAGGGCACGTTGACTTCAGTGCAATCACAGTGCCCATACATGGATAGAAATTTGGCCAAGCCCTGCTGAACTGTCTGAATTTCAATTCAGGTGTGGCCAGCTTTATTCTCATATCTAGTTATATCCTGCCAAGATTCTCCACTCCTGAATCCAAACGATCCTTTATGGGTCATATGTTTGTGTCAGACTTAAAGTGGTTTTAAATATCTGACATGATAAAAGAAACCAAAGCACATACTTGCATAGTGTGTAGTAGCCTAAATCCAAAGTACAGAGTGTGGTTCCCCTCTGTTCTCTGCATGAGTCCATGAAAAGACTATTAAGCCTGTACTGTAATTTGAAAAGTTCAGCAGAAACTGTCTGAAGTTCAGTATGTATGTTCAGCAGTTAAACGCTCACCCATAAATGATCCAATTTATTTTTTATGTTTAACAAGAACATTAAAAAAAACAAAATCCAAAAACACAACTGTTTATTTAACATTATTGTTGATTTTCGTGTGTGTGTGTGTTTCAAGGATTAGATGTCTAAAGCAAAGAGATAAAGTATAATTTTTATTTTAAAATACATTTATAAAATTATTTTTTAAAGGTCTTTATAAAAAAAAGTTTAAAAATTGTATTATAAAGGCCCATTAAAAAAATATATATTTTATTATACCTTCAAACAACCCACCTATAGCATAATCTGCTTAATTCCCCCTTATCTTTTTAAGCAAGCCCATCATCCAGGTCAAACTCTGCAGTTTACAGGTTGGTGAAAGCTGATTGATGGCTGTAATGTTTCTCCCCAACATCAACATTTTCCTTCAGTCATCCTCTCCTATCTTTTCTGAGAGGACAAACTGGTAAACAAATAGAAAGTGTACCAGTAAGGCAGACACTTTATGTGAATACCTGAAGAAACACCAAGACTAGGAAAGGAAGAGAAGACTATGAACAGGATCAACACATGACTGGGGATATTGATAATAAAAATAGGGTCATATAGGAGTGTTTTAGTGGTAATAGTAATTGATAAGCGATTAGTGGTTTGGTGATTAAAATGACAACAAAACATTGTGAATATTTCTAAACATATAATGGATCTTCTAATAAGAGTCATAGACCACTTATTTAAAGATTATTGTACAAAGTTTCTGATATATTTGAAAAAATGGCTTACCAGCATAAAGGCATCTTAAAGCGGAGCTCCAGTCTCTGGTGAACAAAATAAGTCAGCGGCTGCAAAAACTGCAACTGCTGACTTTTAAAAAAACAGCCACTCACCTGACCTAGAATCCAGTGGTGTCCTCCCCGCAGTCATGTTCTCCGGCCATCCTGTGTCCCTAGTGCCAGCATCTTAAGTGTGGGTACGTGGCTTGAGCTGGGTGCTCTCTGTGCATGTGTGAATGGCGCTGTGTTTTGTGAATGGTCCTGCAGTCCCCTGGGTCCTTTCGCGTGTCCCAGAAGACTGCAGAGGGAGAACTTTCTCTCTGCCTAGGCGATCACAATGGGAGTGGGTGCCTGTCAAAATCTGGCACCTCAAAGATGCCAGTCCTTAACTGGGAGTGGAGGGACAAAGCCTTAAAACGGAACTTCCCCTTTTGGGTGGAGCGCCACTTTAAATTAATGGTTAGATAGAAACTTTTCATTGTGTCTGCATTGTTGCACATGAGTGAATACAGTTAAAGGATAAGTTCACTTTAAAAATAAAATAATAAATGCACATCTTTTTGCTGGTAACAAAAAAGTGCATTAATTTTTATTTTTTTGATTTTTATGAGCCTCGAAAGCATTACACCTGCGAACAGCAGATCGCAGGTGCAGTGCATTGCTCCTGCAGACTGTCAGTGTAAGCTGTGTGCTCGTACTTTGTATGGGCAGACAGCTACACAGTGTAAGGAACCATCAAGAAGCTATCAACCGCGCTCGGGTAGTTCATTGAAAACTACAAGCTGTGAAACGCAAAGGCTGGTGGTATTTGTGGTTTCCCATTCACTAAACTCTGTGAATGAATGACACGGCCGGGTGGGCGGAGCATTTTTTCTTAAATTGTGACAGCTAGTTAGAAGATCCCCGGCTTGCTGTCACTAGAGGCAGCAGTGGGAACATGTTAAATGTTTCACCTGTTTTTAGAGTTGAGCATGTAACACGTTCCCAAAGGTTCACCCATCCTTTAGCCCGAGTTCACATATATGTGGTACGGTATATCGCATGTGATTCGCACAGGAACTGCACCTCATTCCTGTGCAAATCACATGCAATTTGTGTGCAGTGCGATTGGAGCCATACATTTTGTATGTCTCTAATAGCACAGCACCCCTTTTTTTGGTCCGCTCTAGAATTGGATCGCATGCATATTCACACCTATGCAATCCTATTCTGCACATCGCACCGCGTTTTGCAGACCGCTTTCGGGGTGTTGTTAACTTAACATACACACCTGCAGCGGTTTGCATGAACAGGGTGCAATTCTGATGCGGGAATTGGCACAGAAAACGGAAATTGCGCACAGCATCAGTGTGAACCAGGGCTGAAGGTTGTGTTTGTGTAGTTGGACACCTACCTGACACCTACAAAGGAGGTGTTGTTGTTGTTAAAACTGAACAATAGTCCCCTTTTAAAAATAAAATTTTTTGCTTGTATGTTTAATAAATAATCACTTTTGTAACATTTAGACAAATTTATTGCTTTGTTTTATAGAATATACAAAAAAAGATACATATATAATTGAAGTTACATAATTGACAAATGTACAATATTATTTTATAGTAATACAATTACAAGAATTTAAATATTTATCAAAGTTTTGCGTAAATGTTAAACCTTACATAGGGTAGTCAGCCAACCCCATTTCTGAACCATGCCAAGCAACAGATCTTCCACATGGGGGGGCGCACCTTGTACCCATGCTAATGAGGATAAGGGCCTCTTCCCACAAACCTGGCCCTGTGGAGGGAGACTTAGCAGAATCTGTGAGCCCACTTTAAGATAAGGAGGCCCACAGATATACAGCCCTCCCTCCCAACCTGAATAAGTACTGGGTACATAGTATGCCTGGTTACTCACTAATCAAACTCATCTCTGTCACAAACATGTCCCACTTATTCTTACCACATTTAATGCAAACTAAAGGATCTGTTTCTTTTTTCTTTTTTTTTGTTTTTGCAGAGAATACCAAGGACAGGCTGGGTATACAGCCATGTTGAGAAGCCAGAAAGTGTCTCAGACCATATGTACAGGATGGCAGTTATGGCAATGTTAACAGAAGACAAAACATTAAACAGAGACAGGTATGCTTTTGTGTTATTACATATACTGTATATTTAAAGATGGCCATGGAGTAGAATGCACCCTGCTAGACCCTTTGAACTGCCATAATCTGTCTCCCTTGCATAGAGAAGTACAGATACCCAGTGATGACATCACTTGGTTTAAAGTAACACATATATAATGAAATTAATGAGGAGCTCCAGTCACCCCCCCCCCCCCCCAAAAAAAAAAAAAAAAAAGTCAGTCAGTAGCGCTGAGTTTTAATAAAAGGACATTTACCTGTCCAGGGATCCAGCGTTGTCCTCACGTAGACTGGTTCTTCACTTGTCTTCAGGTCCCTGGCATATAAATGTAGAACTGTTGGCAAAACTTTTTTTTTTTTTTTTCATTTCCATTTTGGACAGAGTAATGGAGGGTTATTACTCTGGGATTATTTTCCCAAATCGTCTTCCAGGACGGCTCATGAGATATAGGCACCTCCTCCAGCACGAACAGGAGACGCATTACCAAATGCCCTTTTAAAATGAGGTCCCTCTGCTGAACTGGTCAGTTTTTTGTGTTTCCTTCAGACAGAGGAGATGCATCACTTGGAACCTGGATGAGGGAGGCCTTTATTTCTCTAGCTATCCTTTTCTTCTTTCCACCCACTACTTTACCTACCTTGCTCCACTGGGTGCAGCTACTAGGATTTACTGCAAGATGGCCCTCCAGGACCACTCCTTAGTATTGGATGGAGGTAGCTTGGTTCCCTTTCTCCTTCTGTGCCTTAGAAAGGCCATGTCTGGAAGGGACACACCACATTGACCGGGACCAGCATGGGTTCCCAGTCCGGGTTTCTGGGTGCGTGCACTGTCTCCACTATAGGTCATTTCAGTGGGGAAGCATGTGGTAGCTGCTTTGGTTTGTGGCCTGGCTGTGTTCCTGTTTGACCAGATGATGCAAGGGCATTTTGTGTTTCAAACTTCATCATACCCGGGATGTTTACTAAACTCTTTTTTTTTTTTTTTTTGGACAGATTTAAGTGAGCTATGCCTAAGAATTACAGCCCTACGATATAAAATAAATTTCCATGCAAAATAATGTACCGCTTTGACATTCAAATATATTGACATCAAGGAGGTTAAATCTTCAAGGTTTATTGTCTCTAGTAAATGTGGATGTCCTTTTAGGACTATCCAGTAGGCTTGACGTTCAGGGGAAAGTGTCTGTTTTTGCACACTAGTATACTAGTTGTTACTCTGTTTGCTAGCACATTTTTAGAGCTTACAAGAAGGGGGGGAAAGAAAGGGTTTTCCAATCCACCGTAGGCTCACAGATCACATGAATTCAGCTTAATTGTTTCTATTATCTGTTACCTGATGTGTGACTGCCTTACAAGGGTTTGGCTTACCTTCCTACAAGGTACAATCTGCAGTCTGTTAACACAACTCAGCTGGCAGTAGTTTAATCTCCACCTGTCTCACAAAGCCTTCTATTGCCACTAATGCAGAGCTTGAGAGAATGAATTGTAAACTTTACAGCTCTTCATGGGGGACTTATTACCTGGTATACTATGACCTCCACTCACTTGGGATTTGCCTACATAAGTCTCAATGGTTATGTGGGGGCTCATCTTTGCCATATATATTCTCTGTGATAGAGTTCTGTCTCCGGGGACATTTATAGCCTTTGCACAAGTCTGTCTTTTGGCCCTAAGGTTTTATGTTGTACTTAGTACCTTGGGCGTGATATGTAATAGCCATTTTGTGCTACTGGTTTTGCATGTGCTGTCCTATTATGTTTGCTATGTCTATCCCATACCACAGTGTTAATCTCTGTCATGAAATTCTGTCTATACGTCGGGATAGTCCTACTTTTGCAGAGGTTTAGTCATTTAAATAATGTCTTTACGGTTTTGTAACATTTGTTTGGCAGAGTTGTTCAGCCAATTTGTGTGTTTTAACACTAGGACCTAAAGAGTGTGTGTGGTTCTTTTTGGTGCTCTTTTGGTGTTATCCATCCTAGACCACAGCTTTTAAACTTCTACATGACTTTCTTGTAGTGCATGTGTAATCTGTTTGGAACATATAGAGAATGTCCTGGAATTGCTCTGCAGGTCTCTTATACCACAGTGGTTCCCTCTTCATAGCTTCCTTTGCACATGGGTAGAAATTTTGGTTTCTCCAATGTGTTAGGGAATTTTATGGAATGTCTTGGCTTTGCATTGCTTCACTTAGTGTGGAGTGTTGCAGCAAATTTACATTTATAATCCCAAGTCCATTTTGCATGTTATGTGCTGTACTTCTGCATTTTGGGTGGTGTCTACACTGTATCCCAATGTTATACCTCTTCCATGGCTTCATGTGTAGATGGTGTGAAAGCTTATATTGCTGCCTTTATGTTGTGTCTGTCATTGTGCTAAAACAAATTGGTATGAGATATAACCATATTTTACACATGTCGCAGGTTGTCTAGTTACCTGGTAACCCGTGTGCATGCCTGGGACATGTTGCAATTCTGTATTTTTGTGTCATTACAGACATTATTTCATGTTTGTGTCCTGGGCTCGGTTCGCACTGCCACAGCTTGAGATTCGGCTTGTGAGGCCCCAGGTTGTATGGCATGTGGGGTCCTGTGCTGGTCGGTGGGAGCTGCCTTATTTAGCTCTACTGTATTCGCTCTGATTTTGGAGGGGGTTCCTGTACTACTTCGGGGCTACTTCTTTCCGACTTGTGTCCATAGACTTTGATGGAAGTCACCTCCAAGTGAGATCCTCATATTGATGTGATTTGGATCTGACATTACAGGAAGATTACCCAGGCAGGGGTCACATGGCATGAAAGTCACATCAGGTCCGGGAAGTCTCCTGGCAAAGTCACACAACTTTCAGGTCGCAGTAGCGTGAACTGAGCCTAACTGCTAGCTCAGGGGTGGGCAACTGTGGCCCTCCAGCTGTTGGTGAACTACAAGTCCCATCATGCCTCTGCCTTTGGCAGTCATGCTTGTAACTGTCAGTTTTGCAATGCCTCATGGGACTTGTAGTTCTACAACAGCTGGAGGGCCACAGTTGCCCACCCCTGTGATAGCTGATTATGTTTTCTACTATTTATGGATGTCAGTTACTTTGATGACGTTATGCTAATCTCAAGGGTACAGTATTAAAGGACTTTGGGTTTTTAGTGACCCTCCATAATCTAGTAAGTTCTTGCTAATCATCTCATGGGCTGTCCTGAAAGACGATTTGGGAAAACTGGAGTTAAACTTACCGGTAACACTATTTCCAGGAGTCTTCCAGGACAGCCGAATTCCCAACCTTGTGTTATGTTGTTTTTTTTTTCTGTGGGTATATGTTTTATTCAGGTTTTGTCCTTCGGTTCTTGTTTAAAACTGGCCAGTTCAGCAGAGGGACCTCTTTTTTAAAGGGCATTTGATAATGCGTTTCCTGTTCCTGTTGGAGGAGGTTCCTATATCTCATGGGCTGTTACCGGTAAGTCTAACTCCGATTTTGCTCCATCTATGTCCCATTTCAGAGATCTCTCTACTCTTCCTGTCCCATAGCAAAACAGGAATTGAGAGGGAATCCCTTGGGGACCCCCAGGTCACCAGAACGAGTGCCCCTATTGAAAGACTTCCCCTCTATTCTTTCTGGGGACAACCCCAAATTTTTTTTTTTTTTTTACTTTCAATGATAATGATAAACAGGACAAATAGAGAGGGCGAATCTCCCTGGGGGCACATACAAAAATAACTGACAGGTGTTCTAATCCCTCTTCACTCTGTCAAAACTAAAATAAATGTTGCCTTTAGTTATACTTTAATTAAGGGAAACCGGCTGTGAAAGTATCGGAGTTAAACTGGAAGCATAAAGCTTGCGTAAAGTAGTAATCTCCCCAACTCCATGTAATAGAAACATAGGAAGACATACACTGTATCGCCAAAAGTATTGGGACACCCCTCCAAATCATTGGATTCAGGTGTTACATTCACCTCCATGGCCACAGGTGTATAAAATCAAGCACCTAGGCATGCAGACTGCTTCTATAAACATTAATGGGTCGCTTTCAGGAGCTCAGTGAATTCAAGCGTGGTAGCATGATAGGTTGCCACCTGTGCAATAAGTCCATCCCTAAAATTTCCATGCTACTAAATATTCCACAGTCAACTGTTAGTGGTATTATAATAAAGTGGAAGCAACTGGGAACAACAGCAACTCAGCCACAAAGTTGTAGGCCACACAAAATAACAGAGCGGAGACAGCAAATGCTGAAGCACAGAAGTTGCCAACTGTCTGCGGAGTCAATAGCTAAAGACCTCCAAACTTCGTGTGGCCTTCAGATTAGCACAACAACAGTGTATAAAGAGCTTCATGGAATGAGTTTCCATGGCCGAGCAGCTGCATCCAAGCCTTACATCACCAAGTGCAATGAATCGCGCTTCTCTGTCTGGCAATCCAATGGACGTGTCTGGGTTTGGTGGTTGCCAGGAGAACTGTACTTGCCTGACTGCATTGTGCCAAGTGTAAAATTTGTTGGAGGGGGGACTTTGGTGTGAGGTTGTTTTTCAGGGGTTGAGCTTGGGCTCTTAGTTCCAGTGAAGGGAGCCCGTAAAGCATCAGCATATCAAGACATTTTGTACAATTTCATGCTCCCAACTTTGTGGGAACAGTTTAGGGATGGCCTCTTCCTGTTCTAACATGACTGCACAACAGTGCACAAAGCAAGGTCCATAGAGACATGGATGAGTGAGTCTGGGGTGGAGGAACTTGACTGTCCTGCACAGTCCTGACCTCAGCCTAATAGAACACCTTTGGGATGAATTAGAGCGGAGACTGCAAGCCAGGCCTTCTCATTTGACATCAGTGCCTGATCTCACAAATGCGCTTCTGGAAGAATGGTCAAACATTCCCATAGACACACTCCTAAACCTTGTGGACAGCCTTCCCAGAAGAGTTGAAGCTGTTATATCTGCAAAGGGTCGACCAACTCAATATTGAACCCTACAGACTAAGACTGGGATGCTGTTAAAGTTTATGTGCGCGTAAAGGCAGGTGTCCCAATATAGTGTAATTGATGTCTAGCCTTGCCGGCTACCATGACTCCCTTCATAGATTTAATGGACAAATGTGCATAAGCCGTATGGATACAGGAAATGTTATTCCCAGAATTACCAGGTGAAAGAGAACCTGAAAAAAGAAAATGAATGCAGCCACCTTATCTAAGCATTGGTAGGCTGCAACATATAACATTTTTGTTTTGAGGTTTAGATAAGCTTTAAAACCAACCTCTAGGTAGACATAAAATACACAAAATTAATACAGCTCTGAAATCATTAATACATAATTAAACTTGTTTTAAATGCAAGCACTGAATTTGACCTGGTATCAGCCTCTGGCACTCCCTGCACAGCAAAGTGTGTGAGGAAGAGGCAGCACAAGATGCCAGTCAGATGATATGCTGACAAGAAGCATGTTAGGAAGAGAATGCAAAGAGATGAGTTCATCACTTTGCTGTTTCTTATTTCACTGTCCTGTCAAAAGCTAGGGCTACTCCAGGATGGCCTGGGCTCAAAGGAAGTGGGTTGAATGATGTTGGTCATCAGACTGAGGACATCTAGTGGGAAAATACTTTGGGGAAAATCTATGGTTTAAAGCTAAGCACTTCAGCAAAAGCTGTTTTTTTTTTATTTTAACTTTTAATGAGCTATTCATTTTTATATTATTTTTGGCTGGAGCTCTGCTTTAACCACTTCTCGTCCAGCCAGTGTATAAAAACTGTCAGACAGGAGCAGCGCTGATGTGGGTGGACATACCCATATGTCCCTCTGCTTCATAGGCTCATGTGCGGCTCCTAGAGTGTGCACCTGCAAGCCCAGTGATCAGTGTGTTGTCCTGGACGCAGCCGATCACATGATATAGTATAGAACCAATGAAATTTGCACTGCACCATGTGATCTCTGTTTCCAATCACTGCTTCACACAGATGTAAACAAAAGCTGCATGTACCAGTTTCCAGCTCTATCCCTGCTCACACAGTGTTTACACAGCACACACAGCTCACAGTGTTCCTGATCACTGACAGTCGTGTACTGTGCATACTTTGCAGCCAGCCACCTGTCTCCTAAAAAAGGTTAAAGTGAGCGCTCATAAAAGAAATAGCAGCTAGAACACTAGAGGAAGTCACAATAACCTCATGTACTAATAAATAAATGAAGTGCAGCGCTAAGATAAATAATTATATGGCTAAAAGTTTGTTTAAAAGTTTGTGCAATCAGTAAAACTCATATATAGCACCAATAAAATTTCCACAGCTGTAGATATCTCATAAAAGCTTGTGACAGGAAAATGGGAGAAATGTATAAGTATCAAACAGCAGGTAGATGGTGAGGCATCCCTCAGGAGAAAAGGTCATCAAGCTTGGGTGAAGTGGTAGATCAGCTGGACTCAGAGGACTCCTTTAACCACTTGCCTACCAGGCACTTTTACCCCCTTCCTTACCAGGCCAATTCTCAGCTTTCAGCGCTGCCACACTTTGATTGACAATTGCGCGGTCATGCAACATTGTACCCATATGAAATTTTGATCATTTTTTTCTCACAAATAGAGCTTTCTTTTGGTGGTATTTAATCGCCACTGGGCGCTTTACTTTTTGCGCTATAAATAAAAAAAAAATTGCAAAAAATTTGAAAAAAAAAAAAGTTTATTTGTTTCTTTTATAAAATTTTTCAAACAGGTATTTTTTCTCCTTCACTGATGTGCGTTGATGAGGCGGCACTGATGGGCACTGATAGGCAGCACTAAAGGGCACTGATAGGCAGTACTAATGAGGTGGCACGGATAGGCGGCACTGATAGACAGCACTAATTAGGGGTCACGGATAGGCGGCACTGATATGCAGCACTGATAGGTGACACTGATTATGGGTACTGATAGACGGCACTGACTGGCATCACTGCTGGGCACTGACTGGCGGCACTGACTGGCACAACCCCTGGGCACTGACTGGTGGCACTGACTGGCAGCACTGCTGGGCTGCACTGGTGGGCAGCACTGGTGGGTGGGCACAGGTGGGTGGCACTGGTGGGCACAGGTGGGTGGGCACAGGTGGGTGGCACTGCTGGGCACATGTAGGTGGCACTTCTGGGCACAGGTAGGTGGCACTGCAGAGTGGCACAGGTGGGTGCACTGCTGGGCACAGGTGGGTGCACTGCTGGGCACGGGTGGGCGGAGCTAGTGGGCACACTGCTGGGCGGAACTTGCGGGTGTCACTGCTGGGCACCGATCATCAGTGCCCTGATGATCGGTGCCGATCCCCGCTCTGACAACTGCCGGTTCTCGGCAGTACTTTCCTCACGATCTGACAGCGTGAGGAAAGTGCAGCCGAGAACCGGCACTTGCATTTCCCTGTGATCAGCGTGTCATTGGACACCGCTGATCACGTGGTAAAAGGCCGCTGTGATTGGCCTTTTACCACATTACGTGATCAGCTGTGTCCGTAGGACACAGCGATCACGGAGATCGCCGGGTGCGCGCCCCCGACGCCGCCGACGTCCACCCAGAACTGGCCGGCCGCGGTGAAGCCGTCATTCGGCTATGCGCGGTCGGCAAGAGGTTAAGGATGTGTGGGTGAACAACCTGCAGGAGACAGAGAAAGGAGCCCTGTATCCAGGTTGTTCACCCACACATCCCTTAAGGAGTTCTTCTGAGTCCAGCTGATCTACCACTTCACCCAAGCTTGATGACCTTTTCTCCTGAGGGATGCCTCACCATCTACCTGCTGTTTGATACTTATATGCGCATTTCCTATGCGCGGTCGGTGAGTGCGCATTTCTCCCATTTTCCTGTCACGAGCCACCTGTCTCCTGTCCCAGTCTCACTAATGCTGCCTGGAACAGTGTCTCTGATTGCAGTGACCATTTGTACTCTAGCACCAGTGTTCAACGCCACACCACGTCTTAATCATCACTATAACAGTGTGTCATGAGCACATCTATAACAGAGTGTCCTGATTACCACCATAAGGATGTGTTGTGATCACCACCACACCAACGTGCTGATCACTGACTTTCTAACATCCTGATCACCACCACACCAACGTCCTGATCACCACCATAGCAGTGTATCCTGACCCATGCCATACCAGCATTGTAATCACCCCCACACTAGACCCAGAAAAGCAAGTGTTCCTTATTGTAGTGATGCCAGAATGATGTACACCAGCCCTAGTATCCTGATCACTGCCACAGCAGTACAGTTTTACCAGAATCTGAATTCCATGTTCAAAAAAATGTACCAGTGAGGAGGCATTGCAGATTCTGAGCATGACAGGTGAGAGTAGTACAGTGATTCTGAATATGTGTCCGTGGACGGCAGCGGTTCAGTAACCCATACTGAGGAGAAGATGGTCCCAACAAGAAAAATGAGGCAAGCAGCAGGCAACCACCAGCAGCACAATACCTCCCTGTGACATGGTAGCACCAGCAGTGCAGTTCACCCAAGTAAAAGGCCTCCAAAAAAATGTGATAGGCAATCAGGAAATTAGATGTATAATTTATGCCCCTAGAACGCCTGAAAGTGTTATTTGGATTTTGGGCCCCTCTGTGGTATCTCCATACTCAGGAGCAGTAGCAAAAAGTGTTTTGAGGTGTAATTCTAAGTATGCATATGCTCTGTGTGAGAAACAACTTAAAATGAAAACTTTGTGAAAAAAAAATTATGTACATTTATTGTTTTCCAAAGAATTTTGGCAAAAATGTAAAAAAACTCACCATGCCTCTAACTAGCTGTAATTCCTAAACCCTTCCTCCAATTTGGATGTACATACCCTCAAATTAAACCTGAGAGTGTGCACTTTCAGCCCATATCCATGATATAACTGTGTGTCCAAATATATACGTGATTTTTCATTTCCGGGTAGGGGGGGGGCGCGCTCTCTACCTGTGCTGCCATTTGCGGCCGTGGCTGTCAGTCACCAGGTTCCGGCTGGTGATTACTCGCCGGCGCCTGGTGATTGCTGAGGACCTCCAATGGGGGAGAGAATTGTTAGTAAACCAAACAGTTCTCCTCACTCTCAGCTTGTGCACACTGCTTTGCATGGTTGTGCACAGCACAGCCATGCAAAGCAGTGTGCTTATAGTGAAACACACAGACACAGCCCCAAGTAAAACAGCACACACAGTTAACCCAATGATCGCCCCATATGTTATCCCCTTCCTGCCCAGTGCCATTAGTACAGTGTCAGTGCTTCTTATCAGCACTGATCACTGTATTGGTGTCACTGGAGATGTCAGTGACCCCAAGTCAGTTCCCCCCAGTGTCAGAATGCCTGCTGCAGTCCCGCTATAAGTCGCTGATCGCCGTCATTAGTAGTAATAATATATATATATATATATATATATATATATATATATCCCAGTATATATACCGCCATTTGTAAACACTATAACTTTCACGTAAACCAATTAATTTACACGTATTGAGATTTTTTTTTTTTTAGCAAAGACGTACCAGAATACATTTTGGCCTAAATTTATGAAATTTAGTTTTTTGGTTTTTTTTTTAATAGCCCAACAAAATAAACTCGCAGGCGATCAAATACCACCGAAAAAAAAACGTAATTTGTGGGAAAAAAGGACGTAAATTTTATTTGGGTGCAGCGTTACATGACAGCGCAATTGTCAGTTAAAGTAACGCAGCTCTGTAACGCAAAAATGGCCTGGTCAGGAAGGGAGGTAAATCCTCTGGAGGGCACGTGGTTAAAAGAGTGGTGTTAAAACGGGAGGAAATTATGATGGACTTTTGTTTTCAGCATTGATTAAATTTATTTATATTTTGATTAATGTTGTAATTAATTTAATCACATTAACTTTTAGGAGGATTTATAAGTTATATATTTATGATTGCACGGTGTTTGTTTTTAATTAGAGGTTTCAAGGTACACTGTATGGCCAAAAGATTGTGAACACCCCTTGAAAAGATTGAGTTCAGGTCCTTCAGCTGCATCCATTGTTAACAGGAGCATAAATTTAAGTACATTATGCAATCTCCACTGACAAACATTGCCAGTAGAATGAGCTGCACACCTTTTTAAATAGGAATGGAGATTGCAAGCCAAGTTTTCGCATCCAGCATTAGTACCTGACTTCACAAATGTTCTTTTGGCTGATGGGTACCGATTATTTGATGCACGCTCCAAAATCCTGTTGCATGCCAAGAGAGAGCCAACTCCACATTAATTGTTTTGGAATGGGATGTTTGTTTAGCTCGTATAGGTCGAACGTTCAGTTGTCTGAACTTCATGCTTTTGTATTTGTTTTGTTTAGGTGTGTACGACTTGCTCTTGTACATGACATGGCTGAAAGCATTGTGGGTGACATAGCTCCTGCTGACAATGTTTCCAAAGAAGAGAAACACAGAAAAGAAAAGGTGAGTGTATTCCTCACTATACATTGAAACTGGAGCAGATATTGTTAAAATATGAATACATCTATTAAAATTAAAGTAAATCATGTTGAAAAGTTAGGTGTCTGTAATATGATTTTTGAAGCACATTGAGGAGAAGATTTACTAAGACGGCTGCACACAGAATCTGGTGCAGCTGGGCATAGTAATCAACCAGCTTCCTGGTTTTTTAGGCTAGGTTCACATATGTGTGAGTGGTGCCGCTGCAGATCCGCACAAATCCGTGCAGCCCCACCACCCACACAGAGGAATGCGGACCCGCGGGCGGGTGCCATTAATTATAATGGCACGCCGCCCACACTGGAAAGTGCAACCGTACTGGGAACCGAGGTTCCCATGCGGGCTGCGTTTTCAGAAATGCAGGGACTTCTTCCCTCTGTATCCCGAGGCATGGGAGTCCATTCAAATGAATGGGCTCTCGTGCCCCTGCAAAATGCAGACCGCAGGAACGTGGATATGTGGACCAGGGGTAATTAAACTTAATTGAATAAGCTGCAGTTAGAAGCTGATTAGTTACTATGCACAGCTGCACCAGGTTCTGTGTGCACCCATTTTAGTAAATCTCCCCACAACTGTCTATTGTCTGGGAGTTGTACAAGTTTGGAACATTTGTCACATGCAGGCCCACATTTGTGTTAAACCTTAACGTATAGACAGGAGCACCAGAGTAAAATTGAATAAAAGAATCCAAGATCATTGTAATTTTTGATAAAGTCAGTACGTTGTGGGGGCAACACCACTCCACTTCATCAGGGCTCAACACAGGATAAAAATTGGACTCGAGAAATCAGTGACCTCACAGATTCATATTAAAATCAGTATTGAACTCTCCCCATGGAGGAAGAAACTGTTACAGCAGTTGCTGAACAGCAATTGTAATAAAGCTGGACTCTAGGCAAATATATATATATACCAAAAGATCTAATGCAGTTGTGTATTTCTTTAAAAGTAATTAAAGCTGAATTCCAGGTAGTTATGAAAAATGCAAATGAATGCAGCTCATTCACCTTATATGTATTCAAGTTCCAGCAACCTAACTTACACATGTAATGTAGATACCTGGATTTTTCTTGGTATTGGCCACTTGCAGTCCCTGTACAGTTATGGAGGGAGAAACCGCATAGGGGTGCAGTCAGTTGTGCTGAAGCTGAAGGGTGCTTTAAAAGATTCAAGAATGCTGTTCATATCTTTCCAAATGCTTTGCAAAAGTTATTGATAACAAACATGCTGTAGACAGCAGAACATAGAGAGGGAGTGGGTAATTCTAATCAGGATCTACTGCATGCACATTTACTGACAGCAAGCATGCTGATAAGTAATCAACTCTTCTCTTTTCAGTGTATTTGCTTCTCTTTTAATTCTTTGTGTAGACTGCAGATGAACGGCGATGCCACTGTATTTAACTCTAAGAGAGAAAGTAGTATCACTTTCTTGGCTATGGTGTCTGGCAGAGGTGCTTAAAGTGACACTAAACCTTATTATCCAAAAATAGTTCATACACATCCACTAAATAGTCCTGTCATTTATTTTTACTGAAATTTTTGCTTAGTATGTTTTTCTTGTAACATCTTTTTCTGATCTTCCAATTCTCGTCTTTTCCTTCTCACTTCCATTTGTATGCAATGAGCAGTGCACGTTAGCTGCAGTCATGTGCACTTCCCTATGCACATTAGAAATACCATAGTTCACAGTCCATCTTGGAGCGAGCAAGGCAGGGTGTTTATGTTCATACATACAGTGGCACTATGCAGAACAAAGATGGCCACCCTACAGGAAGTTGGATCACAAGAGCAAAAAAGGGAATTTAGAGATTTTTAGGTGGCTGAGAGCAGTACAAGGTTTTGAGTTAAGAATAAATACTTGGATATAATTTTTTTCTTTACCAGGTCACTTGAAGAAATTGTAGCAATTTGCAAGCATGAAAGTGAAAAATAAGTTGTTTTCATTGTAGCTAGATATATCCCATGCTGCTGATGTCTTTTTGAAGATGTCCGCAATTCAGCATCTGCCAAAATCTGCCGTCACAGCAAAAGCATAGTTAAAATAAGTATATTGTAAAATTCAGTGTCTGGTTAAAGTGGTTCTAAAGGCTTAAGGGGTTTTTTTTTTAACCCTTCGTGCATTGTCTGTTTTACGGTAAAAAGCCACCTGTGTCACAGGATCCCCCCACGCTTCCATTATTCTTACCTGAGCCTAATCTCCATTCAGTGCTGTGCCTAAGAGCAGCAGGTCTCTCTGCCCTCTTCTTCTTCAAAGGGCAGATTGAAAGCAGCAGGAGTCATTTGCTCCTGTCTCTGTTAATCAAATCCAGTGATGGAGCTGGGCTGTGCTGTCTGTGATTATAGATGCAAACAGTGCGGCTTGGGATCAAGCCAGCAAGATTGCCCCCATAGGAAGTGTCTTCCTATGAAGGCACTCGCAGAAGAGGTGGAGAAAAGAGCGCCGGCGGGTGACCACAGAAAAGGAGGATCGGGGCTGCCCTGTGCAATATCATTGCATGGAGCAGATACTGTAAGTATAATGTTTTGGGGTTTTTTTTAAAAAAAAAAGCTTACAATCACTTTTGACTGTTCACCCAAACACCAGCACGTAGGAAGGAGAAGAGCAAGTCACATATATGACCCAGGGATGTTCAAATCATATCGCCCCAACGCCCAGGACATGCAATTCCGGGGAACGGGGCAGGTGGTTTTCTCTGACATTTATCCCTGCTGCGGGCAAGCAGATGATCAGCCTCGGGGAGCCATGCACCTTACTACAGGGGGAAACAAGCGGCTTTAGTACTGAACATGAATGAGCATTTGCAGCTGATGTGTTTAAGAAAGTGAGTGTGATGGTAATGGCTGCATTTCCCTTCCCCTCTTCTGCCTCCCCATGTCTGTGCTGGTCAGTGTGATTACTCGGCGCTCTCTGCTAGGCTGCTATGGGGAGTCAGTGTGTGCTACCTGCAAAGCATTGCAAGAGCCACCTGTCCTCCTTCCCTGCCCCCTCCTACTGATCAGTGTGCTTCTGAAGTTGCTTGCCTTTCTAATAAGAAATCAGAAAACAAACAAATCATCCTCCAACAAGTTATTGTGGTGTATCTGAGTGGAAAGTAAATACTTTTATGCTCTGGAGATGAGAAGGGACAATTTAGAGAAAAACAAATATAATGCTTTAAAAAATTTCAGAGATCAGCCTTCCCCTTCCCTGGAGAGGCAGACAGCTTCACACACCAGACCTAGCCCACTACACTTAACCCCTTCACTGCTACACAGCTTCACACACCAGACCTAGCCCACTACACTTAACCCCTTCACTGCTACACAGCTTCACACACCAGACCTAGCCCACTACACTTAACCTCTTCCCTGCTACACCGCTTCACACACCAGACCTAGCTTCCACACCAGACCTAGCCCACTACACTTAACCCCTTCACTGCTACACCGCTTCACACACCAGACCTAGCCCACTACACTTAACCCCTTCACTGCTACACAGCTTCACACACCAGACCTAGCCCACTACACTTAACCCCTTCACTGCTACACCGCTTCACACACCAGACCTAGCCCACTACACTTAACCTCTTCCCTGCTACACCGCTTCACACACCAGACCTAGCCCACTACACTTAACCCCTTCACTGCTACACCGCTTCACACACCAGACCTAGCCCACTACACTTAACCTCTTCACTGCTACACCGCTTCACACACCAGACCTAGCCCACTACACTTAACCCCTTCACTGCTACACAGCTTCACACACCAGACCTAGCCCACTACACTTAACCCCTTCACTGCTACACAGCTTCACACACCAGACCTAGCCCACTACACTTAACCTCTTCCCTGCTACACCGCTTCACACACCAGACCTAGCCCACTACACTTAACCCCTTCACTGCTACACCGCTTCACACACCAGACCTAGCCCACTACACTTAACCTCTTCACTGCTACACCGCTTCACACACCAGACCTAGCCCACTACACTTAACCCCTTCACTGCTACACCGCTTCACACACCAGACCTAGCCCACTACACTTAACCCCTTCACTGCTACACCGCTTCACACACCAGACCTAGCCCACTACACTTAACCCCTTCACTGCTACACAGCTTCACACACCAGACCTATCCCACTACACTTAACCTCTTCCCTGCTACACCGCTTCACACACCAGACCTAGCCCACTACACTTAACCCCTTCCCTGCTACACCGCTTCACACACCAGACCTAGCCCACTACACTTAACCCCTTCACTGCTACACCGCTTCACACACCAGACCTAGCCCACTACACTTAACCCCTTCACTGCTACACCGCTTCACACACCAGACCTAGCCCACTACTACACTTAACCTCTTCCCTGCTACACTAAACCGCTTCACACACCAGACCTAGCCCACTACACTTAACCTCTTCCCTGCTACACCGCTTCACACACCAGACCTAGCCCACTACACTTAACCCCTTCACTGCTACTGCTTCACCGCTTCACACCAGACCTAGCCCACTACACTTAACCCCAGACTGCTACACCGCTTCACACACCAGACCTAGCCCACTACACTTAACCTCTTCACTGCTACACCGCTTCACACACCAGACCTAGCCCACTACACTTAACCTCTTCCCTGCTACACCGCTTCACACACCAGACCTAGCCCACTACACTTAACCCCTTCACTGCTACACCGCTTCACACACCAGACCTAGCCCACTACACTTAACCCTTCACTGCTACACCGCTTCACACACCAGACCTAGCCCACTACACTTAACCTCTTCCCTGCTACACCGCTTCACACACCAGACCTAGCCCACTACACTTAACCCCTTCACTGCTACACCGCTTCACACACCAGACCTAGCCCACTACACTTAACCTCTTCCTGCTACACCGCTTCACACACCAGACCTAGCCCACTACACTTAACCCCTTCACTGCTACACCGCTTCACACACCAGACC